ATACAATCGGTCTATTATTATTATTATTATTATTATTATTATTATTATTGGAGGGAGTGGGTTTCCTCATGCACCGCGACTAATAGTCTATCGTACGTCCCCCTTTGATATTCTACCAGTCGCCATCCCCTACAGGTACTGGTGCGTGCTATCAGCCCCGCTCAGCCAACGAGGTCGGTCCTCGGTACCCGATACTTCCTCCATTTACCAGAGGCATTGGAAACTACTTGGGCGGGAAACTTTTTGCCTAATTTTACTCAGAGGTCTCCTAGAGACATGAGGATCTTTTACGTGCCGTAAATCTACGACACGGGACCCACGGCTTAAAGTCCCTCCCGGAGGACTTGTTTCCTGAATTTTTCCGCCCTTAAAAATTCCACGACCTCCGCCGGGTTTGAACCCGTGTATCTTGAGTCATGAGTACAATCTGTCTACATCAACGATTTGGAGTTGCATTGTCTTTCACAGCAAGAAGTTGTGGAGGAGAGATTGTCAGAGGAAGAGGAGGAGGAGGAAGAGGAGGAGGAGGAGGAGGAAGAGGAGGAGGAGGTAACAGCAAAGCAACAATCTTCTGGCGCAATAAGAGAAATGCTGAAAGCATGGGAAACTGTTGCATCGTACACTGAGAAGCATCACCCTAATAAGGCAGTGGCTATGCGCGCTACAAATTTATTTAATGATAATGCTGTGTCGCATTTTCACCAAATTTTGAAGCGTCGGCAAAAACAAATGTCTCTAGACAGCTTTCTAGTAAATAAGAATTAGATATGTATCATAAATAATAAAAATAATTATTTCGATTTTTTTTTCTGCAAATCGAATTCGCATTCCAGGTTGGTTCATTCCGCAGAGAAGAAAAGATGAAGATGATTCACGCTCCTTAACAATGTATATATAATTTTCTTTGAATGAACGTTATACATAAACTTTTTTTTAGTTTTTTTTTCGGCATGGAACGCATTATCGTATTTTAAACTAATTTATATGGGAAAAATTGTTTCGCTTAACGAGTGTTTCGCATTACGAGTAATATTCTGAAACGAATTATGCTCGTTAAGCGAGGTTCCATTGCATAAAGTTTTGTAACGATGGTACAGTGATACAAATATTATGTTTCTGAACATTATCCATCGTCTTGTTTTATCTACAAACACCGTCCTATTTTATTCAAAATACAACGTTTCGGAGACTAAATTCTGCTGCCATCTTAAGGCAAAATCTACTCCTTGGAACTAGCTCTGTCGATTGGGCCCTACTGAGTAGGTTTTACCTGAAGACGGAGACATAATCCAGTCCCTGAAACGCTCGTTTTAAATAAAAACGATGCACAATGTCCAGAAACATAACAATTGGATATTTCGTTTGTTGTGGATCAAACTGGGAACATATGGAGGAACTTCAGACGAACTGTCGTGGAAGACACACAGAATCACATTCACGCCCTCGTTACCTGGCATTCCAGGCGGACGTTGGAGCCCTGTAGCGCCTTTTGCTGTCCTGGCAAGATCTTGGTGAATTCGGGCAGCTCCACTTTGTGCCCGACCACTACGGGAGCCGTCGTGATGACGGATTCGCCCCACCCATATCGGTTCCTGGGCGTCACCCGGAACTTGTACTCTGCTCCCGGCTTCAGGTTGAAGGCATCGAACGTGTTGATAGGGGAAACGCCCATCTATCGGAAATAAAATATAAAAATCAATTACGTGGATGCAGCGGGGCATCTTTACGGGAAGTAGAAAATGACATTAGAGAATGCTGGGAGGTCACATACACGCTCCCGCCACTGCAGAACTTCGGAACTCATCACACATTACACACAAATTTAAACAAATACATACTTACTTACTTACTTACTTACTCATGGAGCTGAGCCCTTCTTGAGGAGCCGCCAATTCTGCAGCTACTGAAGAATTTCCCAGCATTTCATGGAACCTGAAGGTTCATTATAGTGTTCACAGTAGCCCTCCACTGGTCCCTATCCCGAGCCAGATCAATCTAATCCACACCACCCAATCCTATCTCTATAAGGTCCATTTTAATACTGTCCACCCACTGACGCCTTGGTCTTCCCAGTGGTCTCATTCATTCTGGCTTTCCCGCCAATATCATACACACATTCCTCTTTTCCCCCATTTGTGCTACATGCCCTGCCCACCTCATTCTCCTTGAATGTTAGAAGTATGTGTAGGGCAGGTTCGCTAAGGGCAGTGGCGGAAGAAATCTCAAAACATAAGTTAGATTTAGCGGGAGTACAGGAGGTCAGATGGGACGGAGGTGGCATCGCACCAGCAGAAGAATATACATTTTGCTATGGAAAGGGGAACGAAAATGATGGATTAGGTACAGTTTTCTCGTACATAAGGGAGTCGTATAAAAATATACACACATATACTTTTTTGTGTGCCCTCTTTTAAATTAAATTAAAGGATTCGAACAGCATTGGAACTTTTTTTTAAACGAAAATGGGATCTTTCCTAACATAAAGAAGTCATCTGTAATTTAGCAAAATTCCGAAAGCAGGGCAACCTGAATCAAGCCTGCATACATCACTCAACTCGTAAGGTCCAGGCCCTGCTTCTAAGGGAGCAATAATCTATATTCAATTTGTTAATCCGTCAGATGGTTGAAATGTTGAAGAAGCTCTGAAAATACGAACAATTTACACTGTCTGTAGGTGATCGGTTTCGTGGGCCTGGCCAAGATTGTGGTTGCCATACGGTGAGCGGCAAGCGAACAACAGGCCATGGAGTTTAGTTTAGGAGGTCTCTAGTTTGGTTTTATCTAGCAGCATGGCTGGTGATTGGTGTTTTCCTTAGTCCCTCTAATCAAGCGCTTGGAGAGAAGATTCTACACAGTTCATGACTGCTTCTTTTCCAATCTGTTCATTCTCTTTCACATGAATCCTGCCACTCGATCTATTCAGAGCACACGAAACCGAGACAAATGCCCTTAAATAAACCAAGAACGAAAAGGTGGAAGGAAGGGAGTTTCAGTGGAGCCTGCGAGGAGTACAGAGTTAATTGGTGCAAATAATACAGAATGAAATTCACCTTGATCACTATGATCTACATCTGTAGTTGATTCAATATTTCAATTTAAAGAAAATCCCTACACAAAATGGAACTCATGTACTGAATTTCGTGTACACTGCCTGCTGCCAAACCTGTATTTTCCTGAGCACAATCACACTTCTTAACACAAACCTCGATCCAGCGGGCTCCACCGTCTCCTCCGAGGGGCCACGCTTCAACTCGGTAGGCGAGGACAGGGGCGCCTCCACGGACTTCACACTTGGGCCAGGACAGCGTGAGCCAGTTGCGGCCGCTGTCAGTGACGACAGGCTCGCCGGCGACCGGACCTGGAACATCTGAAGAGGACGTGCACGCTAGTACTGGGAACAGGAACGCTGTCTCTATAAAGGATTTAAACAAAATAATCCTAGCACTTCGAACTTAAACATACATCGAATTCAACAAGCTAGGATACCAAAATGAACCTTGACTTACAAAATAACGGCGTAAACTTATGTTTTCGGTATTGTACCTCCTGGTTCTTGGCTCTCGCTCCGGTAGTCTGCATGTATCTTTAAATTCGATAGTTTGCATGTGCCTCCAACATTCTACTGTTGTATCTTCCAACAGTATTTTAACTGATGTAATGTCACCACTTCTGAAGAGTCCTACACGTCTCCATCTCACGAAAAGGAAGTAAAATGGACTAGAATTGGCTGAAGAGGGAAGCCAAGAAATCTGTCCACTTATATGAGTGCCACACAGTATTACCAAAATGTGGGGAAGCGCCATCTTGCTAGAAAATAATGTCAGCCTCTTTGGCAAGGAGCAATTTTTACATGAAACTCAGAAATCTCCTTCCCATGTTTTAAGCTTCACTCGGGCAAACTGCAGCCGACGATTTGACAGTTATGCCCATTTATAATCCCTCGTACATGAAAGGTTGCTTGCATCTCAGTTGTTTTCTGAAGCACATCGTGAAAGGCAGACCAAGGCGCGTCCAGTTCTAAACTTTCACGTGTCCGCTCCGTCTTGAGACTGCGTGATAACATCTCGCGATTACGTCAATTCTTTTCTCAGACGCTCCCGGCCGTACTATAGATAACGTTCTTGAAAGCTGCCAATCTCTGTATTTTAATTGCATCGCCGCACGATACATTTGCCATCGCCTTCTGCCCGATGGGCATGAGGAAGAATAGCGGAAACTAAGTTATCTAAGTTACTGTCATGTATTCGTGGTTTGCGTGACTAATAATAATGGGTTCTGGATTAGATGAGTAGATTCATTGGCACTTATTTACAAATACAATCCATTATGACAGTTCACAATCAGTGCTATGACTCGCTCCATTCCTTACTGGACCACGAGCGTTTTCTCTTCCATTACGAAGAATGACGAACGAAGAATCGCTGCTCACACACTGAACTGCCTAGAAGGATGTCTGTGTGACGAATCACTCTCTTTTATAACTTCCAGGCGGCCGTAATATAGGCCACCATGTGAGCCGATTCCTCTGTTATTCCCCGTTGTCACGGGAATGTCTTTGTTAACGTTCGTTGCCATGGGAACCTGTGTTCGGCGACTTCCTACCCAGCAACTGAATGTCCCACTGCTGACTGCGTCACCTCGAGAAGCGTTGTCTAGCAAACGGTCATAGTCCGTCACAATATTTTGGGGCACATTGTGTAGTTACGACCAAATTATAAATTGGATTACAATGGCAAATATATTAAACATTTTCCATCGTCTCTCTTCGACTGAGGAAACAGAAGGTTTTGGGAAGCTGACTCTGCTTTCGTCATCAGGTAAATATATCGTCTTTCTTGGGCCAGGAGACGGATTAGAGCTTTCTAATCTAAACAACAAGGCTACGTTATCATGTAGAAGTGGGGAAAACAGTCTGTTGGGTGAACTGCTAGGAGCTGATGTCTTTTCTAGGATTAGATCTCTTCAACGGAAACGACAGAGTAGGTTTCACACTATAACCTGATGATGGAAGGACAACCACCTTCTGAAACACTTTATTTTCTTTACACAACACGAAACAATTGAAAATTCCTATATATACCAGCTTAATAACATTTTCTTCACAAAGTTTCAGGCTTATCTTAGAAGCTGGATGTTTGCCAGATTACAAGGCTCATATAAAAAATGCATATGAAATAAAAGAACAAAGTTTCATTACTGTTTATAAACTATATTTTTGTTGTTGTTGCATTTTATCATATTCAAAAAGTGCTTTATTTTGAATTCCGGCATACTTTTATGGAAACCCTGTGTCTGTATGCTGCGAAGTCAGGCAAAACTGCCGCTATTACGTATGTTTACCGTCAGCACCAACCTGATAATATTCCAGCTTGTTTTAAGAGGTTATGAAATTGACTACTTAGCCTCTATGTAAATTTGCGTTTTGGCCAGTGCAAAAAGAACTCCTGGCTTTTAAAGTCGCTGAACACACATTCTTACGGAAACGTGGGAGGAGATACAATCCTGCCATTTTGACCGTTTGATCACGATGTCATGAACAACAGAACACTACGGAGATCTCATGATTCCCCGAAGCCCACCAGATTATGCGGGCTTCTGAACTAGAAGAGAGCAGAAGCGAGAGACGTTACGTGCAGCTGAGAGGAGCAGGATGTGCTGTGGCCACTAAACAACTATACGGACAATCACCGGTATAAACCCAAGGCTGTGGTAGCAGAAGCTGAACGTTCAGCACCGTTAAGGCAAAAGCGTGCTTTTGGGCGTGATCCTGAGCCAGTTGCATCCACTTATCAGCCTCACAACGAATCTCTCGAACATACATTGCGATAATATGTGATGGCCTCGAAATTACCAGGCTTCACGGCCGTAACGATATATGCACGCTCTGTGTCCATATCCTGGCTAAGCCCACAGTATTCTCCTAGATATCATTATCCTAACAGCACAACACAGGTGGCTTGTTCGTCGTTATGACAATCTAAATTGCTCAGTCATTTCACACCGTCTAAATATAAATATTACTCTTACAACTTTTTTTGAAACACATACAGTTCTTGTTGTTCCCTGGCAGTACGAGACCACATTTCACACTGAAATAAAACAACAGGAAAAATTTTCATTCTTCATATATCTCGATTTTCAGCGTTTGCAAAATTGACTGGACGATATTCTAAGTGAACAATAGTAAACATTTTCCTCTGAATTTTTATTTTTTCTAATTTCATCGTTAAACGTGTTTGTATTTTTTGATCATTATCAGATACATAAACTTCCAAATATTTGTTACGTGTAGGCAGTTAATGCTAAGTGCTAATCTGATGTCACACCCATGCATATACTGCATACTGCATATTCTGTACGGATTTCATATACTTCTCCTGTAAACATCATTAGCACAAAGAAAAACCTGATACAGATTAGCTAATCTGAGTCCTTTCTTATTCTCTTAGTATTTCCTTATTGCTACAGAATCTGACATTGCTGTTTTCGCGGTGAAAGGCGTTATTATGGTGAAAGCGAATCGTGTGTTGACAGAGGCTGTTTCCAGCGTTTGTTTGAAACGAACTGGAGCCCTCCGTAGTGCGCCAACCTTCACTATACATTCCGTAAAAGTATTCCCTTGGACATGATCCAACATCTGGACGAAAAAAGTAGACTATTTTGTAGGCTATCCGCGCCTCAGAGTCCCGGTTATATAATACGGGCCTACCTGTCAGGCCTGGAAAAATGGAGATCGATTATATGTTCAAATAAGGCATGAGAATAAGAGCAGGAGAGCATGCGCATGACGTACACAGGCCTGCACTCTCGTGGTAACATCCGACTACTCTCACAAACATTTAAAACAAAACTCAGTGTCATTCTCTGCATTTTACAAAAATTAGGAGAAAGTGAAGTTAATCTCTGAATATTTTTGAAGAAGGTGCATCATGCTTAGAAGAGTTTTAATACCTTGGACAGTATCCATCCTCTATGTTTTTACTAAAGACGCAACATTTTGGAAACCCGTACCCTTTTTTCGTCTTCAGGCAACACTGAAAGCTACACGATAGAATAGATAACCAACTAATTTAAAACTAATCAAATAATATAAAACTAACAACTTCAAATTATTTGTCGAAGTTCCGACTGCAGATTTGCATATAATCTCAGCAAAAATTAACTTTGCCCTGTGACCTCTAAATGCAGTTAAATGCGGCTTATTCACTGTTGTCTAACATTCGTTATTGTTATTGGTTTATAAAGCGTACGTCCTTACGCGGATAATAAACATGCTTTTATTTTCAAACTAAGGTCTTCAGGTCTAATACCAAAGGTTACAAAGCAAATTTTCATTGTTGAGAAAATTTCAAATGTGTTTTCCATGAATAGAGGACAATATTTTCCAACTCTTGATTCGAGTAATGCTTGCTACAATTCATCCAGAACCTTTTGTCTTTTCGTCTGCTGTCCAAAAATATAAAAATTAGAATATACAAAAGTATAACTTTGCGTGTGGTTCTGTATGGGTATGAAACTTGGTCTCTGACATTAAAGGAGGAACATAGACTGAGTGTTTGAGAACAGGGTGTTCAGGAGAATATTTGGACCGAAGAGTTATGAAGTGACAGGAGGTTGGAGAAAACTGCATAATGAGAAGCTTCATAACTTGTACTCTTCTCCAAGTATAATAAGAATGATCAAGTCAATGAGGAGAAGATGATCTGGGCATGCAGCACCATTGGGGTAGAAGAGGAATGCATATAGGATATTGGTGAGAAAGCGAGAAGGAAAGAGACTACTGGGAAACTAAGACGTACGTGGGTGAACAATATTAAAATGGATCTTAGAGAGATGTTATGGATTGGACTGATCTGGTTCAGGATAGGGGTCAGTGGAGGGTTTCTTGTGAATAAGGTAATGAACTTTCGGGTTCCATGAAATGCTGGGAAGTTCTTGAGTAGCTGCACAACTGGCGGCTTCTCAAGAAGGGCCCAGCTTCATGAGTGAGTGAGTTTGGAACTCTCTGTTCACATTTAACTTTACCACAAGCTGAACAAGATTATGAGCGAGGCTCGCCATTGATCCATTCTTACATAGCTCCGAGTACAAACCAGATTTTTCCTTTCAATCCCTCACAATAACACGATTCGCTACCGCGTCAATGCTCAAGCTCTTGGTCACCAGCTTCCCACTGTGACGACCAGAGTTCCATCCCAGGTCCCATGTGGGGTTTATGGCGGACAAAGTGGCACAGGGGTAGGTTTCCTCCGAGTACTTCGTTTTCCCTTGCCAATTTTTATCCCAGCAACTGCTCCACAATCGACGCTGTGTAGTCTCGATACTGGTAGTGTCGTTAAACAACCAAATTTAAAAACAACACGCCTC